TGGGCGTCGCCCGGGGACGGCGGTGCGGGTTATGGGGGGTCGCGGAGACGGGAGGGGGCGGCGCGGGGCGCTGCGGGGAGGGCGACGCCTCAGCCCCCGCCGGGACGGCCCCCTCCTCCTCTGCAGGGCGCGCGGCGATGTGAGCCATGAGCGCGACGTGGACGCTGTCACCGGAGCCGCTGCCGCCTTCGACGGGGCCCCCGGTGGGTGCGGGCCTGGACGCGGAGCAGCGCACGGTGTTCGCCTTCGTGCTCTGCCTGCTCGTGGTGCTGGTGCTGCTGATGGTGCGCTGCGTGCGCATCCTGCTGGACCCCTACAGCCGCATGCCCGCCTCGTCCTGGACCGACCACAAGGAGGCGCTCGAGCGCGGGCAGTTCGACTACGCGCTGGTGTGAGGGGCTCGGGTCTGCGCTCAGCACCCGTCCAGCCCCGGCCCCTTCGATCCCGCCCGTCTCCCCACTAGCCTGGCCAGAGCCCCACCTTGTGCCTTTGCCCGTCCCTGCCCGTCCTCTGCACACTCTGGGCCCGACTGCATCCCCAACTTCTAAGTGGCGCTGGCTGCTGTCGTGTGCCAGGTACGAACGCTGCGCATCCTTTCTTGGGAGTGGGTGAATGCCGTTCCCAGCCCTGACCTCTTCCCCACTTTCCGGCCACCCCCAGTGTCACCATGGCTGTGTGGAGCCTGTCTTTGCGTCCTGCGGGGCAGGATGCTGCATCCGATAATGCCCTCCTGCCCAAGCCCTGGACCCGGAAGACGGACCGCGGCTGCTGCGCCCCGGGACGCACGGTGCATTCCGTCCCCAGGTCAGCGCGCCCTTCCCCGTGCGCACCTCTGCTTCCATGGGCCCCGCCGCCTGCCCAGCTCTCCCCACGCCCCTCCGCTGCCTTCTCCTCTCGCCCTGTCTCTGAGCTGTGATGATGATGGCGGTGATAATAAAAGCTACTATTGAGCGCTCACTGCATGCCAAGCAATGTCCTGAGTTAGCACCTCCTGTTCATTGCCTGTTTCCTCTGCGATCGGAGAATGAGCCAGCTCCCGCGAGCGTCCCCATTTTACAGGCCAGGGGACTGAGGTCTAGGCGGCTGCGACAACTTGCCTTTAGCCGCGTGGACAGTGTTTAGCCGGACCTGGGATGCAGGCATGGCTTCTGCCCGCTTCTAACCGCTGCCCGGAGCGTGCACCCTGAGACCAGCTCCGTAGGGGCTGGTGTGCAGCACCTCAACCCCCATTCCACACGTAAGCCAGGACTCCCCGCCCCCCTTTCCTTGAGCGGGGGTGCGCTGCGGGCTGTAATAGAGACTCTCCAAGAGCCGGCCCTCCTGCCCCCGTCCTCGCGTGCGCCTCGGCACCTGTGGGGCTGGCACCGCACGCTGTGAACACGGTGTGGGCTGGCTCCGCTCCACAGCCAGCCCTGGAGACGTGTTGTGTGCCCCGCAGGAGCTGTGTGCAGTGTGTGGGGAGAGACGAGCGTTTCTATAAAAGGAAAGCTGTGTGAAGGCGCTGGCTGGGAACAGAATTTACCCTCAGACGACTAGTTAGCTTGGGGGGAAGGCATGCCATGGGAAGACGCTTGGCTTCCCAAGAACGCTGGTCTCCCAGACCTGTCCCCAACTCCATGCGCACAGGGAGGGTGGAGCTGGTGCCAGGCAGCCTGGCAGCACCCCCAGGAATGTGAGGTCTTGGGGCCCCGCCGGGACTCCGCCCCTCCCCCACCTACCTCTGCTCCCCAGCTCTGCCTTCGTTGTCCCCACTCGCCCTCCGGCTCCTGCTGCCCCTTCCCCCCGCTCGCTCCTCTGGCCGCCGTCCGTCTTCCGCCTTCCCTGGTGTGCGCAGCACTGGCCCCTCTGACCTGCCTCTGACACCCGTCCCCGCCAGCTGTGCCCAGCTGGCTCTTCCCGCCCAGGCTTACCAAGCAGCTGCTTCTGCCCCGCCACTAGTAGGACCTTCGCGGCCAAGCCGAGGTCACTCCAGCGAGCAGGATCCCCTACTCCCAATCTTTAAATCAGAAAGAAGGAAAGCAGGTAGACAAGAACTTTATTCCAGGTGACGGGGCCCCAGGAAGGCGTGAGGCGTGGGGTGGCGCCGTCAGCTGCGGAGGGCGGAGGGATGCTGGGTCTCAGGTACAGGAAGGGTGGGGGAAGAAAACGGGAGCCTAAGCAGAGGATGGCGTGCGACGGGTGCTGGTGTGGGGGGCCAGCTCTGCCCTCTCCCCAAAGGCCTGGCACAGTCACAGCTGGGCTTGGGGGGGACTGTGCCTCGGCTGCCTGGCTGCCGGGGAACCCTGGACCACTGGGATTCCATTTCCAAAACCCCCAGGCACGCAGCATCCAAATTCTGCACCCACGGCTGAGAACCGGGTCCCCCAGCGAGCTTCCAGACGATCCTCACAACGGTCCACTGCCAGCCAGGGGATCCGTGTATCTGCCACCTGCCAGATACACGGGGCCTCACCGTGCTGGGGTGACCGCCCGGCCCAGGAGCTCCAGGGGCACCAGGAACGGGTTCAGAGGGCAGACGCCGGCTGCTTGCCAGGCCGACCTCAATTCGCTGGGCGTACTGTGCTCAGGGGCTCCATGGGGGCCCTGGCTGGGCTCCTCCGGCACCCTGGAGCCAGGGCCCTCCTCAGCTCCGGGCCCGGCGCTCCCACCACAGGGGCTGCGCTCTGGGGCCATCAGGCGGTCATAGGTCTTGGTCATGTGCTCAGCTAGGGCCGTGCAGGGCAGGTGGGGCAGCTCCTCGGGCAGCGACAGGAGCAGGTCAAGGACCACAGCCGACTCTGGGGATGCAGGGAAGGGACGGGAGTGAGCGGAGGGCAGGACCTGCCGCCTGGGACCTTCGCCCCACGCGCCCTGCCCTCCCCAGCCCCCTCACCAGCTGCGGAGAGCTCTGGGCCCTGGCCACTCCGGGAGGAGAAAGACAGGTACTTGTAGATCTTCTCGAAGTCCACGGTGAGGTCTCCCTCCGGGGAGGGGACCGCCAGGGACTCAGCAGGTGCCTCAGGGACACAGCCGAGGGTCTCAGGGGTGGGGCCAGGGACCTCGGGGGCTGGCTTCGATGCAGAAGGGGCAGAACCAGAGGCCACCGGGGCAGGGCCAAGGGTCACCGAGGCAGCGCCGGACGCACGAGGTGCAGGGCCGACGGCGAGGCCGCAAACGTCAGGGGTGCGGCCCTGCTGCCCTGTGGCGGCGCCCAGGCGCGGGGTCTTTGCACGGGCTGCCGTGGGCTTGGGGGGCTTGGAGTGCAGCAGGCTGAGCGGCTCTGCGGCCGCAATGGTGAGCACCTGGCAGGACACAGGCAGAGCCCTCAGGGAGGAGGGTGCGCCCTCCACGTCCCCAGCTCTCCAGCCCTCGCCAGATCCGCGAGTCTAAGGCCCCGCTGGGTCACAGCGCCGGCAGGGCCCTGGGCACGCCGGGCAAGCGCTGCACCGCTGATTGGCACACACCCCAGCCGCGCGCCGCGACCCTCCCCGGGGGCCCTGCCCCGCGCGGGGGCGCGGTACCTGGGAGAAGGCTGCCGTCAGCGGCTCCTCGAGCGGGCCCGTCAGCTTCTCTCCTAGGTCCGTCCACACCTGGGGGAAGCCCGAGGGACACGGGCAGCCGGGGCCGGCGCCCAGCGCGCGGGCGCACCCCTCCCCTGGCCTGCCCGCTCGCCTCACCTCAATGGGGGCCAGGACCTGCGCCTGCGGGCGCCTTGGACCCCGAGGGCCGCCTGGATGCGCCCTCTGAATGGCCTCGCGGGCCACGCGGCCTTTGAGGTGCTGGAGGAAGTCGCGGACCTGGGGAGGAGATCGCGGAGGCCACCTATGAGCTCAGGGCTGCGGACAGGCCCCGGGGTGTGAGCCAGAGCCAAGGGCCGGCTGTCCCGGCTCCTCCTGCAGCGGGGGCCGGCTCCGACGTGAAGAACCCGTTCACTTCCGCTCCGCTCACCGCCGCCCGCTTCGCCCTCACTCTCACCGCCTCCAGCGCCTCTCTCGCCCAGCTCGCCCCGCCCCCAACCCCTGCCCTCCGGCCCCGGCGACCCCACCCCTCAGGCTCACCAATCACAGCCGGCATGGCCCCGCCCACCGAGCTCACACTCATACCCCGCCCCTCGCTTACATTCGCGACGTTGGTTGGTTCACTGCCCACAGCATCTTACCGAGGCCCCGCCCCCCGAGCCGCATGGCCGCACCCACTCGTCGGCGAGCCACGCCCCCAGCCTCGCTTCCGAGGTGGGACCCGCCGCTCACCTCGGCCTCGCTTCGGCTCCACAGCTCCCTGGCCAGCTCGGCGGCGTCTGGCTCCGGCTGGCCCCGCCGCGCCATCAGTAGTCGCAGTAGCTGGCGCTTCTCGCGAAGGCTCCAAGGCACAGGGCCGGTCACCTCGCCCAGATAGCGCGCAGGGGCAGACCGCCGCCGCTGCGGGGGCTTCATGTTGCTGTAGAGAGACGCCGATGCTCTCGCGCAGCTTCCCTGGTGGGCGGGGCTACGGAGGCTGTGGAGGCCAGCAAGCACCGCGCGAAGGCGGAGGCGGAGGAGGGCGCGGCTTCGCGTTTACAGGCGGAAAGGAGCCGCCTTCATAGAAGTAATGGGGAGACTAGCGGCGCACAAGCGGGGTGCGCGAGTCCCTCCGTCCGCGTTGTATCTCATTTGTGAACTGAAGTGACCTTGGATCGCTTGCTCTCCCACATGCCTGACTGCCTCATGAGAGTCCTATTACTGTGTGCACTGCTTTTCTAAGCCAGCTCTCTAGCCGTGGTCAGGAGCCTGAGCTCTGTGGTGGGACGGCCCTGGCGACCTTGGGCAAGTGATTTAACCTTGCCAAGCCGCAGCTTCCTCGTCTGTAAAGGGGGTAGTAGTCTCCTGCCTTTGCACTGGGGAGGGAGGAGCTCGGGCAGAAGGGATTTGTTTGTAGGCAGGGTCTCGCTATGCGGTTCTCTCTGGCTTTGAAGTCTGTGTAGCCCGGGCTGTCCTCAAACTCGTGGTGATCCTCCTGCCTCAGCCTCCCGAGTGCTGGGATTACAGCACCACCATGCCCAGCAAGGAGGGATTTAAAGAACTCTAGACGACGCAAGCAAACGAACAGGAGTGCAGTATCAGATCAGTGGGGACACCCGAGGACAGAGGTAGAAGGCTGAGACCTGACGAAGGCAGGGACTGGATAGCAGAGAAGGCCAGGCTTGGGGAAGATGGAAGGAGGCGGGTGGGCTGGTGCAGGAGTGGGGGGAGACGGGGCTTATTTTAAATTTTTTTTGGTACTGGGACTCGAAACTCGACCTCACGCTTGCCAGGCAGGCGCTGTGTCTTATTTTGAATTCAGCCCTTATTTTGTTTGTTTTTCCGGTACCGGGAATCGAACTCACGACCTTGCGCTTGCCAGGCAGGCGCTGTGCCACTGAGCTATTATTTTAAATTCAGCCCTTATTTTAAATTTAAACTGGCAGGGTTACGCGATACCTAACCTTTGGGACAAAATGCCCCTGAGCTATGGGCTAGCAGGCCGCGCCCAAGGCCCAGCCCTCCAGGCCGCACCTCTCCCAGCCCCGAGGCCCCTCAAGTCCTGGTCGCTGGCACTCTACCGAGCGCCCCCATCCGTGCGGAGCGCACCCCGTGACTCCACCAGAATTTGGCGGGCTCAGTTTAGAGGTTTATTTTGAGCCCAGGCGAGGTGGTGGAAAGGGAGGGAGGGGTCATGTTCTCAAAGTGTGGCATCCGAGGCAGTGTGCTGGGTCCTGGGTCCTGGCAGACCTGGTCCGAAGCCACGGCTTGGCTGCGTGCGTCTCAATCCTGCGGGGTGCGCCACTGCTGGGAAGGGAGGGGAGACCAGGCAGGACTCTGCCTTCCCGGCACCTGTTGGCTTCTTGTCAGTCTAGGCCCCTCTGAGCGTGGGAAATGGGTCTGAACCCTTAATTGGTGCCTAGTGCTTGTCCAAGGTTTGAGGACTTACCTCCGAGGCTGACCCTAGTCCCTGACTTCAAATCCCACTAACCAAATGTTATGACTTTTTTTTTTTTTTTTTTTTTTTTTTGAGACAAAGTCTCGCTATGCAGTTCAGGCTGGCTTTAAACTCACTATGTAGCCCAAGCTGGCCTTGAACTCCCAGAGATCCGCCTGCCTCAGCCTCACAAGTACTAGGATCATAGGCCTGCGCCATCACGCTTGGCTCCCTTTTGACCTTTGACAAGTGACAGAGAGCGCCTCTATTCTTTTCTCCTGGAGATTATAACAGTAGCTGTAGGTTGTTAGGATTGTGTGCGAAATATCATTCAGCACTGTTCCTAGCAGGAGGGTGAAGCTCTAGGGTCACCACCATCACCTCCCACCTCAGCTCTTGCTTCAGACCTCCCTTCCCCGCTCCTTGCTTACCTGCCTCAGTGGGGCCTCCGGGGCTGGGGGCCGCTGGGCGAGGCCCTGGCCGGCTGGCTAGGGTTCCGGGGCGCTGCAAAGAAGAGCCGCTGCGATGGGGCGCTGCGCCGGGGTCAGCGCGCCCCCTGCGGGTTGCTGCGGGCGCAGCGGAGTCAGGTCTAGGGATGGGCAGGTCCCGCTGGCTGGGACCGTGGCGATCCCGGGACTAGAGGCGTGGGAATGGGCTGGGGCGGACGGGGCAGGCGGAGGTCGGTACCTGAGCGCGCGCACACAAGGCCGAGCCCCGCGGCCAGCGCGGCGCCCAGAACGAAGGCCGCCAGCACCACCGCCACCACGGGTGCGGGCTCCAGGGCTGCGGGCGCGGGCGCGGGCGGCTCGGCGCGCACTGCCTTCCCCGGGAGGCTCTTGGGCGGCCCTGTGCGGGGGAGGGCGACGCTGAGGCTAGACCCAGGATCCTGATGCCCACCCCGGCCGCAGGGCATCCTGCGGAGGAGGACCGCGTGCGTACTGGGGGGCGGCTGCGGCACGGTGACCACGATGGGCTGCGTCAGCGTGTGCAGGTGGGGGCCGTCCGCGCCGAGGCTCTCGCCGCTGCCCGCGCACGCCTCGTCCTGAGGCCAGCACTGGGAGAGGGGGACGACAGGGGACGTCACGGGCCGGCGATCCTGGGTTCTGTCTCCTGGGCTCCCAAGAGGCCTAAGTGTCCAGCTGTCCACCGCAGCCAGGAGGCCGCCATGGGAGCCCTGCAAGTTTGGCTCCTTAAGAGTCCCTGAGCCCAGCCCGTAAGTAACCCAGTGGTACCCAGCCTGAGAGGACCTCAGTTTCATCCCTCAAATGTCAGGTCACGGATGGCAAGTTTGAGCCCAGCCTGGGTACCCTCGTTAGGAAGGTTAGCAAGTTCCTGTCTCAATGAGTCAGTCAATCAAAGGCCCTGGGGCCCACCCCACCAAAAAAAGGGTCAGCGCCACTCAGCACCTAACCCGGGAAGCCCCACATCCCAGGTGCCCCCAGACTGGCCCCTGGCATCCCTCTGCACCCACCCAACCTCCCAGCTCTGGAGCAACCTCAGAGCCCCGCCCAAAGGGTCTACAGCCCTGGGCATGAGGGAATGCAGTGGGCACTTCTCCACCGAGGAACCCCAAGGGCCCGCCGGGGGGGGGAGGGGCAGCTAAACACCTTGACCGCAGCCTTAAACTCAGTGTCTTCTCCCACCCCCGAGGAACCCTTGCCTCGGGCCCCAAATCCAGAGGGACCCCTCGCTCCCGTTGCCAGACATTCCCGGCCCAGCCCCGGGGGCCCTCGGCTTGCAGATCTCCAGCTTTGCGCCCGCGCACCCGCGATGGCAGCGGCGGCGGCCGGGTCAGGGGCGAGGGCCTAGGGCTGGTTCCTGGGAGGCGGCGGCAGCGGCTCAGCTGGCAGTGCAGGAACTGCACCGATGCGTTGAAAACCGGGCGCAGGCGGAAGCTGAAGCGTGCGGGGCGGGCACCGTCTGGGCTTGGCGGCGGCAGAGGCGGGAAGGTGACCGAGGCGTCGGCGGGGCAGCCTCCGCGCAGCAGCACCAGGGCGGGCCCGGCCGTCGGGCGCGAGGACGGCG